CCAACTAGAGTAGGACTGCCTTTCAACCCTAGTATGTTCTTGGGGCCACCAGCTCATTGGCCGTGATCTTGGAATAGTATTTAGTAAATGGTAACAGTAGTTCTTGCTAAATCAACCTGGAGCAGACCTGGGTTATAGGAAACAATTTTTTTTCTCAAACAGAAGCAGATCCCATTTATGAGCAAAATAAAATCAATTATGAGGGGGTTTTGTGTTTTTAAAAATTTCTTTTCACGAGCTAAAGTTCATTTTCCTGGAAATATATCTAATATACTGCTAAATAAATACTAAATGAGAATAAAGAAACAATGTGTATGATAAGTGTTATGAGCAGAGAGACTAAAGTCACAGCCTTTAGATATTCTTAAAAATTCTGTTATATGTTTCTGATCCAAAATCTGGTATTTTGTTATTCAACAACATCCTGCCTCCTCATCTGTAGTTTTCTTCCAGGTTTCAGTATTGAGCCTGTCTGAAACTTGACAAGCTGGCCAGTCAAGTATACCAACTTTTGTGTATAATTTATTAATTGACAAGTGAAAATCTGGGGCTAGTGCCCAGTATGAATATTCATGTGCCTTACTCTTTTAACCTATGACCACATATAGCTTTTTACATATCTTACTAAAATTTGGTGTTAACACCACCTGCTATAAAATAGCCTATATCAGAAATGTTCCCTCTGTGATTAATTTGTATGAATGATCTCTTTCGAATTGTTATATATTTTTCTTTAGATTATACAGGGGAGTCACATGATACCTTCACAGGGACTTAGGGGAGAAAATATTTTAATTTACCTGCTTAGGGGATCTCCCACCCAGGGTAGGTCTTGACCCAACTATAGTTGACCCTTGAACAACGTGGCAGTTGGGGGGCACTGACCCCATGCAGATGAAAATCTGCATATGACTTTTGACTCCCCCAAAACTTAATTAGACAGCCATCCCTAGGTATGTGCAGTGGGGTTGATTCCCAGATCCCCGCTGATACCCAAATCCGGGATGCCCAAGTCCTCTATATAAAACTGAATAGGTCAATGCATCTGCAGGTTCCCAACTGCGAACTGAAACAATACAGGTATTAACTGAAAGAAAATCCACGTCTAAGTGGGACCATGCAGTGCAAACAGGTGTTGTTCAAGGGTCAACTGCACTTCTAAGCAAAGGGAAACCACAACTGAAATGGAAAGAGAAACAAAATCGTTAATGTCCACAGGCCTGGCTTCAAGGACATTTTCAAGAGTCCTTGTGACTCCATATGCAGTTTCTGCCTCCAGAACTTCACCCAGTGTAAGATGTCATGCCACTGGACAAGGAAAATTCAACATTTGATACATTATTGTGCTAAGTGGTTGAGGTACCTAAAATAGGCAAGACATACATGAAAATCAAAATTCATAGTGGGAATTAACTCTTAGCTCTTAAAATGATGACTGTAAGTATTGCAAATTCTTCCCCATACTTTGGATGTCATCATTTAAAGATCTTTAGCATTTGGTAGAATTTATTGAATACATTATTACTTCAGTAATCAATAAAATCTATAAATTAGCACACTGGCTGTCTTTGCGCCAGTATCAAATAGTGATTCTGTCAAAGGCATTCAGGGGTTTTAAATGATATTCATAGAATAGTGGTGGTTCCTATCATAGCCATTATTAGTAAGCAAAAAGATCTTATTCAAACCAGAGACAGTAAAAAAAAAAAGAGATTCAGTGATACAATTAAAGAATTTTAACCAGACTTTAAATATATGTACCAAGTTGTGGATCATTACATGGCAGTCATCCACTGTGTTTATCTTTAGAAAATGGAGGAAATAAAAAGGTTTCATAGTGAAAGTTTGAGATTAACCTGTTATCTTTTTGTCACGTCTTAGAAAGCAAAGCTTTCTAAGGAAGCTCATTTTTAAGGAATTGGTTTGCTTTGTGGCACCTAATAGATTTAATGTTAGCACCCATTCACTGCCAGCTAAGAAATCTGCCTAAGGAAAAGGACGTGAAGAGTGAGAAGGGGACAGACATTGGGCACCTTTGCTCTCGCTGCTGCCTCAGCTAATGAAACCAACTCCCTTGTAAGGGCCTCATACGTGGAAAGAACACTTCAAAATAATATTTTTCTGGCAATAGAAAGTGGAACAGGAAGCATTGACAGCTTCTGCTTTGGGAGAGCATCTCAGAAATCAAAATACTATTATGATCCCCCAGGGAGTCTCTTGGCTCCACAGACACCTCTAGATGTTTAGTTTTAGGGGTCACAGCAGAAGCCAGAAACAGCACCTGCCTCTGCCCCCTAAATCCTCCTCCCTCCAGGGCCCTGATTAAATGCTGTCCTGCCCGTTCCTGAGGCTTCCCCCGTCACCAGCCAGGTGCTGCCTAGCACTCTGCACCTCTCTTGCAGCATTTCTCACTTTCACTTTATATAGTAGGTATCTCATCTATTGAGCCCAACTTTCAACTCCTTACACATAGAGGGTGCTCAATAAATATGCATTGATTCAGGCCAGTCCTTGTTCTCTGGGGACTCTGCCCTTGAGTTGGCACCGGTACTGTTTGTTATAAGACTGGGATACCGAACCACACGGCATGCAGACTTTCACACCCACTTCCTCATTTATACAGGGATAAAAGATTGCTAAATCAGTATAGTCATGGTGAATGAATCCCTACTTCGGTTTTGTGTCTCCCGACAAATGCCTGTTGGGCACTAACTCGGTGTTTGTCACTCTAAATACAAGAGTCCACATCCTGATGAGAATAAAAACTCCTAACTAAATGATTGCAGTGTGAAAAGGGCCAGAACCGACATAGAAAACCCTATGAGTGCGAGAGGAAGGAAGTGGCTAGTTCTGCCTGGTGGCTAGTTCAGGGCAGGGGCCCAGAAGGTTCCGGGTGTCTTAGGTCAGATGGCTGAGTGTTGAGCCCCCGTTTGATGATATCAGAATCTAAGAGATATGTGAATGAGACAATTTATCTTTCCCTTTAATAGCATCTATACTTCCCTAGACTCTCAAATAGCTGTGAGTAGCTGCTTCCATAAAGTAAACTGCGATTCTTTTTTTTTTTCTTTTCATGGTTTTCAAATGATACGGAAGCACTTAGAAAAATCTGTTCATCAGTTCATTTAGAATAAAAGGTCTCTATGCAGCCATAGCATGTGCAAAATAAAATCTGGTAATGAGTAAAAAACTCTGTCTTACAATATGGTGGTAAACTGCTCTCCCTCCTGGTATTTCTACATTGACTCATTCAACAAATAGGCATTGAGTGCTTAGTGTGTGTCAGCTTCTGTTCTAGGAGTTGGGGGTCCAGCCCCCAGCTCCCATCAGCCTCCTCTGCCAACCTTTACCAGCAGCAAGAGGCAAACAGCAGGAAACAGTCTGACAGCACTGTTTATATAGTGATATTTACCAAGCATTCAGAGACCGGAAGTTGAATGGCAGAGTAAAGCCGAGAAATGAGATGACTTTCTGGACAATCCATTGGGGAATTCCATCCGGGAGGGGCAGGCCCCAAATACTTCCCCACATCATCTGAATAATTTAAGCCCTTCTCCAAGCCTTCTTTCCTCTGACCATAGCGTGCGAGGCATTTTGAGAAGCCATAGGACAAACAAAAATAATAATTCCTATTCTCCAGGAGAAAAACTAATCCAGATTCCTCACATTTTCAATATGATTGAGAAAATCTAACGTAGTGCCAGGTTTACAAAGTGATAAATAAGATAACAGAATAAGCTTCTATACTACATCTCACTTAAGTGAGGTTTTCTTCTGACCTTTTTTCTAATGGAAGTTTACCAATTACATTTCTTCATATTTGAGTTATTATTTTAAAGCTATGTTATGACCAACAGTAAATGACTTAATAGTTTCATTATGACTAATGAACTTTTATCTACTTGGCAAGAATTTATTGAGTGCCTACTATGTGCCAGGCCCAAGAGATACAAAGCCTGAGTTCAAGGCAATCAGGGAGGGCAACAATTAATAAATAATTATAACACTGAATGGTAAATACAATCATACAAGCATGTCAGATAAATAGCAGTGACAAAAGAGCACACAGCTTCCTCCTTGGGAAGCAAGGAGTTAGGAAAGGCTTTGAAAAGGAAATGATGTGAGCTGGGTGGAAAGATGAAAAGGCGAGTTGTAAACATCCATGGTGTGATGACAGAGAATGTATTATCAGTGTCTGAGCGTATATGGTAGAGTCCAAGTTGAAAGGCACCTTATAGATTTTCTGATTCCGTATCCCAGACATGAAATCCCTGACAGGGAAATGGCGTGACTAGTGCATTGGTGTTCCACGGGTGCTCTGGAGTATAGCTTCAGATTCCTCCCCAAAACATGGGTCAGAGGTGGATTTAAACTGCCTGGGGCACCTTCTCATCATTTTTAGTTATTTTATGTATTTGTTCACATAAGTGTTCAATGGAGGGAAAAAACACAGTTTCGCAGTTGAAACACTGGCCTAGTACGAAGAGCATAGGGCCTGTGGGAGAGCCCCATATTTGTGTCCTTAGGCAAATGAAATTAAATTGTTTAATGTAAGAGAAAGTGATCTGTCAACTGTAATGCGCTGAGTACATTTAAATTATTTTTAAGTCATTTGGGCCTGAGTTCCTCCACTTAAAAAATGAGGGTGTTGCACCCAAAAGTCTCAAGTCCCCCATAGCTCTAAAATTATATGATTTTATGATGATTATCCAGCTTTCTCGTGACGATTTCGAAGGACAAGAATGCTTTTTCAGTGTATTCCTTTCCATTGCATTTGACAAGACTTAATATTAGAATTAGAGCATTTCGTTTTGTGAATTATAACTAGTAATTGGTTTTGTAAATTGCAGATACCGGCATGCAAAGCCGAGACTGTATGCTTTGCAGGCTGTGGATATTGCAGTAGCTAGTGATGTTTTTTGTTGTTGTTGTTGCACATATGCCCAAAGTCAAATGCTTCAAATCTTGCTTTTAATGAAATATTTATGTTCTTTTGGTAGCCAGAAGTGCAACTTGCTGAAGGCTTTGATGTGTTTATGCCTAAATCTCAGCTGGACTCTATATTGTCAAACTACACTCGCTCAGGAAGCCTTCTGTTTAGAAAACTGGTGTGTGCATTTTTTGATGACAAGACTTTGGCTAACTCCTTACCCAATGGAAAGAGGAAAAGAGGACTCAATGACAACCGGAAAGGACTAGACCAAAATATTGTGGGTGCAATAAAAGGTTGGTCTGCATCATTTCATTTTATGGTTTCGTTGTTGAGCTTTGCTTCATTGCATAAAGATGCAGCTGAAATCATAGACAACTAAGTAGAGGCTCATTTAATTAGCCATTGGCAGTTTACCCACGGGCATGGCTTCGGGGTGTGGGCTCTGTGATCCACCACCCCGAATACCACTACAATTTGGTATTTCAAGGTGATGTTCATTTCTTAAAATCATAAATTAAGAGCCAGTTTGACCTGCTGCAGAACTGAAAAGAATTTTTCTTAATTGATTTTAAAAATGAAGGTATTTTTCCTCTCAGTAATTGCTAGCTAAGAACATCAAAATATGATTTTGACTGAAATTTTTAGTTGTCAATAAGAATAAAGCTATGATACTATTTTTTAAAATATGATAAAACAGTTCTCTGCAAAGCTCACAAGGTCATTGCTTCAAAAGACATTTCAGTGTAAGTGAACGCACTGGGAAGCCAAACCCTGTGCCTCCCCACACACTCCTGGCCTCCTCTGCTCCACAGGCTTTGTGACATGGAGTTATGCCAGTTACATGCAAAGAAGACCATGGGTCCCTCCCCCTCAACGCCTGGGAACATGTGTCTGAATTCCACTGCATTCCTATAGCCATGCAGGTGCATGTGTGAGTAGATGTTCATTTATATCCAGTTCCACATCCTGGGCCTATTTCTTAATTTTAAAATGTCCTTACTTAGGATTCTGATAAATATCATTTTAGGTAATAGAAGTACATAAATGTTATTTTCCAAAAGAATGAGTTCTCAACTATCAACACAACTACCCTGAAAAAGAAATTGTGGATCAGGCCTTATATATAACACTAGAGTCACGAATCCGGAAGTTCCTCACTGCCTCAGTTCCTGCATTTTGGGCTTGTGAACAGGGACTGGACGCAGAGGGCCCTCCCCACCCCCCTGCAAAATGAGTCAATGAATTTAATAGTGCTTAGAGGATCCTTTGAAACCCACAATTAACTTTACAAAATAATACGTTTTTTAAATGGAGTCAGCAAGTACCAGACACCCTTTGTTCCTGTCCAGAAGGACATAAGCCTTCATTAACGGAAAATTTTTCATCCTCCAACAGAATTTTGTTCACTTAAACTGACAGTTGAGTTGTACTAAATAAGAAAAGCTACAGAGATATCACAATCGGTGTCATTTCTGAAAAGAATGATTCAGCCTGAAGTGACACCAAAAACAAGATTACAGAATTTGAAAAATGGTCAATGATGTAACTGGGACTTGCTGAAGTGAAGAAGGATCCCATTTCGATTTAATATGGCTGGGGCCTTCTGGAAACATGAAGGTCAAGGCCGGTGATGCTTTTCACTGCTGAAGCTTTTAAACACACTGAAGTGTAGGCAGAATTTATTTTACTTTTCTTCAGGACAGTATATGAAGATTATGAAAGTGTTTGGAAATTGGGGAACCATAAATGACCATGTCCCAATTCAATAATAATAGAAGAGTTACCCTAATAATCGGTGGTAATGAAATATATCATTACAAGTAGACTGATAGGGGCTTATTCTACCGTTTTCGATCTAGATTGGACATCATACAATAGTGTGGAAAGGTGTATTACAAACAGAAATAGAGACGATTCCTTAATTTTCTTCACAGCCCTACTTTTTAGCTAAAAATAAATATGGTAATAAGGCTTTGTTCCCAATACATAATAAAGCAGATTATTCAAATCAAAGAACTTAAGTTTTCTATACACTTCTTATTTTGTTGAATTAAATCTGCATTAAAATTCTTTTAAAACAACAAAATAACTATAAGACAGAAATCTACCCATAAGCCACCAACAACCTAAGTCAACAAATATTGTATATTCACTTGTTTCCTTGCAATGTTTATTCATAGGCATATTTTTATTTTGTTTTTTCCCTGATTACAAAAAAAAAATACATGCTTGTAAAAATTCCAAACCGTAAAAAAAGTATAGAAAGCTGAAAGGCCTCCATAATTCCAATTTTCAGAGGTTACTGTGTATTTTCCTACAACCTTTATTTAAAGTGTGAATGTGGCATCAGGTTTGTCTTTCTTATAAGAACATTCTCTCTGTACCAGTCAGTCAACATTTTAACCTGATTTATTCTGATAATTTCTTGTAAGCACCTTAAGGACAAGCTTTGTCTTAATTATTTTTACTATCTGTCGCACTTCACTGAGAGCTTTACACAGAGTAGGGATTCCATAAATATATATTGGGTGAGTGAACAGAGCATACTTTTTATTTTTCATCTTGACTTTGGCCTTAATTTGTTGACCTAATAGGTGTAATACAACACACCCATTCCCATGTGTGCTCACAACTAGTTTGGACTAATCAATATCAAATGCTGTTATAAATTTCTTTCCAGTTAATAAAATGCCAGCAAAAGTGACAAACAAACAAAATAACAGAAACAGAATTCAAATATAAATTTGAAGACACTTCTCTCAATTCTCTAATACCTTTTTCCTTTACGTATCATACTTTCACTATAAGTTTATTAACCAACTTATTGCAATGTAAAGTGATTTTTGAAAGTAGTTATTAATTGAAAAACTCTATTTGGTTTTTCTTGCTATTGGTAGAGATAAACAGAAATTTATTTTCTTATCCCAGGTCTTTGGAATCTGAGCAACCTGGGAAAGTGATAAAAGGGTTTCTTTCTACAGAGTAGTGGCAAGACGACTCGCGTTACTACTGCTGTCTACTACATACTTTGAAAAGATTTTGCAAATGTTAAATATTCAGTCTTTCATTCTCTGTCCTTTATGGGATAGTACACTAATGCTGTATTAATGTGAGACGTTTTACAACCTAGGAATATATGAAGGCTGGTCGATTTTATAAAATATTAGAAGTGAAAATAACTGGGATCTGGATTTTGTTTCAAAGTGATTAGGTTGGTTAAGACAACAATGGGGGAGAAAATGTTAATAAAAACCTATAAAATGCTTATAAATAGGAACAGAGATGGACTGAAAAAGGAAAGAGTTTATTGTGCAATTATTAACAAAGCTTTTTGTAGTGATAATTAATATTCCCCATGACAAGATCTCGAAAATAAAATATAAGCTTCTTTGTAGAGATCATATTTTTCACAGTCTCATCTGTTGTATGGTGACTAACACTTATTGGTAATCCATTAAAAATTCATTTATAAGATCCTTAATTAGAAACACACCTGGACACTTTGAGTTTAACTCAGAGAAGCAACGTATGATCTTAGGTTTTGGTGCTGAGGCAAGTTTAGCATCTGGGATTTCATTCAGAATTGATTTCACAGCCAGAACACAGAGCAGAGGTTAGGACCAAGTTACACCCTCCTCACTTCATGCTCTACCTGCTGAAGACAATCTGATTCTTGATATCATACCAGGAGACCACGCATTTGACTTAGCGAGCACCACCTAAATATCAATAGAATCCTTGAATCTCAGAAGGCCCTTCCGAAAATAACAGTTGCAGCAAAGGCACTTTTAGAACTTGGGTCATGATTTTTAATTCGGCTCCATAGTGATTAGTTGAGAAAGTTTTATTACTGTCAAACTACGCTGGATTCTTCGGTCCTTTTGCATTCAAAGGAAATTACCCATGCTTGTCAAGTGAAAGAACTGGTCGGCTGCTCTTAATTTTACTCCAGGCAGCACATGTTTGCAGCACACGCTGCTGCTCTCCTGAGGAGCAGTCAGTGCGATACTCTGCCAAGACAGACACCAGGAATCAGAACAGCCCTGGGACCCCTCCCGCTCCTGGGTGGGTGGGACTCCAAAAACTGAACTGTGCTTCTTAGAAGATCAAAAAGCCTGACTACATCTGACACCCCCATTTCATAGCCTCTGCTGAACTGACCACCAACCAAAACCTCTCATTTCATTCCAGCAACTCTCGAGACTAGCAGGGTCTGTATTTGTCATGTTAGAATGTCTTTATTTTCCATATTTATTGTACATCATCATTCATTTCCTTGCGATTTAATCAAGAAAAGTGAATAGCTGTTTTCTGTTTGATCTCACATAGACTTAAATTAATATGCTTGGGCATATAATTTACATCTGATTTATTATTTATTTCTTGATAGTAACTTCGGGGTTTTCTCAGAACTGTGTAAAAACAAGGCTAAAAACTCAGCTTGCCTTTGAATACTCTTGCAATGTGGAGGATTTTGTTTTCATTGACAGGAGAGGAAACGGAGACTACAAGACATTAAATATACTTAAAGTTATAACAGCTAGTACGTGGCAGAGCCAGGATTTAACCCCAGGCCTCTCTGACCCCCAAGCCACCGTCTAACACACTTGATCCCTTCTACGAGGAGTATTTCAAAAGAAAGAGAGAAAGGTGTCCCAACTTTAAGTTTCTATTTTCAAATTTAGCGTTCTGGATTTTTTCTAAATTCCACTAGGAAAGCTGTCATACTAATTATTTTTAACGACCAGCCAGTGGTTGTGTATGCAAAGCATACTCAAAAGTGAATTTTGGGGTTCAATAGAGCCTTGCCTCAGTTGATTCACTAGCTTCAAGGGCAGGTCTTCCCTTAAAGACAGCAAGAATCAGTCCCATCACACAAGGGAGGACTACAGAGGTGTGATGCCTTCCCTAGGGAAGGAGACACTTCTGAGACTTGTCCAGGACATAGACCCACATAGAGAGAACTTGGAAGTCACACTGCATGGAAGCAGTCTTTCAAAGGATGTAAATTAAAGTCTAGCTTAAATGTCTGGCAGTTGGAACCCATTGATGAATGCTTTAATTCAAGAATCCTTTTGGAAGATGAATAATCACTGTCAACTTCTCTGTTCATATTTTTACATATCAAATCAGCTTAAGTCAGGGTGCAACTGCATAATATATAACAAAATAATATATCACAGCTATGTAATGACATGAGATACATGGCTTGTCTCTCAGCTCTGCGTAACTATTACCTAATTGTTGTTGTATCTTCCCACATTTTATGTGATATGTGATAGACAGTGATAGA